GGGAACTGTGGGGGTAACAGTGCGACTGAGAGGTAATGGGGAACTGTGGGGGTAACAGTGCGACTGAGGGGCAATGGGGAACTGTGGGGGTAACAGTGCGACTGAGAGGTAATGGGGAACTGTGGGGGTAACAGTGCAACCGAGGGGTAATGGGGTACTGTGGGGGTAACAGTGCAAATGAACTGAGGTCACTGGAGCAACTGTTTTTGTTGCGTGCGGGAGGACGGTGTGTTTGTGCCAGTCTGTTCTGGCATATAGTGATCAATAGCGCCTGCTAGGGGGGAGAAGCTCAAAGAGCTTGTGGCCCTGGTGTGAGGGGGGATGATTTTTCCTGCCTGTTTCCTGATTTTGATGAGTCCAGGTTAACGCAGCTGATCTGTTCTGCAGACCTGATCATTTGTTATTACACGTGCATGGTTTTCTGTACAGGAAGAAACCTTTAATCTTGGTTGTGTTCCTCAGGCGACTTGATGTTCTCCTCGGGGAACCTCTCCATACTGAAGCCTCAAGGGGCATCTTCTGGTGCTCTGGCAGTGTATGCTGGCCGAACGACAGACTTTACCATCGGTAGCGCGGTCAGCCCACTGGAGCCCCTGGACTCTTTTGTGTATGCCGGGCCAGACGCCACACCCAGCGCCAACCTGACCGAAACTTTAATCCCAGGAAGAGATGCCTTTCAGCTCAGCAGTAGGCAAGTCTGACTAATCTATCGTTTATAGCACTGGTCTGGGGCTATCACTGTAAAACACCACTTACTCTAGGACGTCATTCTTTTCAGTGTCGAACTGGGAGGCATAACCCTCAGCCGCTGTGGAACGGCTAGCTGGAGCAGAGACCCAGGTGTTTTCATTAAGACTGTTCAAACTCCCGGAAAAGCCAACCACTGCTTGTGGCCAGAATCGTGTCCTAAAAAATCTGGTGAGTCATTTTGGATGGGAGGGCAAAGGCACTGTCTCTTATAAAGTGTTTATAGAGAGGCACAGTACAGACTATCCCTAGTTACAAAGTCTTGCGACACTTTCTGCACATATGTTCCACACAGACACTTTCTTTTTATTAAGTGTCATATTTTTTTTGGTTGACTCATTCAGTTCTGTTCTTGCCATTTTGCTCTTAATTGCAGTTGTAGTCATTGGCCCCCAAAGGGATACTATGCACAAATATTTGCTGTTTTATGTTATTGATATTGACGTGCTACTAGAGATGAAATAGTATGAAAATTTAATATTACGATTATAGTCACTACAATTATCACAGATATCAGTATTCTCGCAATATTGTTAAAATGTGCTGAAAATGTTCAAAAACTACTGACACACGAACTGAAATCAAAGTTTTATATTGAAAACCACAAATAAAATAATAACATTTATTGTGCATTTATTGTTTGCATAGACAATAAAATAATAACGTAGCCAATACCTTATGTAAACACATGGAACCAATATCAAATATGCATTAACATTGAAAATCTCCAGAGCACTGTAACTGCCTTCTGCAATGTTTTTATTGACGTAAAACAAGCCCACGTTGCACGCTCAGTCTAACTTTGGTTGATGCTGAACAGTAGTTTTTCAATGTGTGGTAATCAACCACAGTATTAATGATAATTACATTTTTTAAGAGTTATACTAACCATCGGGAATTTTATGGTGGTTTATGGTGAAACTGGTAACCATTTCATTCTTAGGCATTACTAATTAAGTAAGAATCACCCAATGAGACTGCTTGTCACTGAACTTCCTAACTCTGAACAGCTGTTTTAGAACTATAATTTGGGTTTCAATTTATTAGTACTTGAAATGAATGTTTTACTTTCAAGCTGCAATTATCGTACAATGCACAGCGTGCGCTAGGTAGCGTAGCGCTGTCAGGCATACTGACACTCAAAATTAATTCTTACATTTACATTTTTTTTAAACTTCTTCGTATGTGAGAGTTGTCATAAGTCGCACAGGTTGTAAGGCTGTATTCTTAAAATGTATTATTAGCTGAAATATTTGCTTCTTCATATAGCGCATCCAATAATTTTATTATGCCGTAAAAGAAAGAATTGTTGCAGTCAGATGTCAAGTAAATATGTGTATCTATATACCGTAGATTGTGGTATGTGATAATACTCATTATATTATATTATTTGTTGATTTTTGAGGGTTATCTGCCAGTACTGCAACTCGAATGTCATATCTGTGCTTTGAAGATTACTTTATATCCTTAGATTAGTCGAACATAAGCACAAAATCCCACCTTGTGAATGTGAATAACTGTGATTGTTGAAGTAAACTCCAAGCCCATCGCCCCGACAGTGATTCCTGAAGGTACAGCGGCGCCTCCCCCCTGGGATCCGGCCAGTCAGCAGGACTTCCTGCTAAATGAGGTGAACGCTGACATCCCCGGTGCGGAGGAGGACGCCGAATTCATTGAGATCTGGCACCCCACTGGCCGACGCATGTCCCTGGACGGCATCTGGCTGCTCCTTTTCAACGGGCACAATAGCAAACCTTATCGGGAGATCAGCCTCACGGGCTACTTCACAGACACCCGCGGCTACTTCCTTGTGGGCAGTGATGGGCTGGTCCCCAAGCCCTCCATACAGCTTCCACCCAACACCATCCAGAACGGGCCGGACGCCGTGGCCCTGTACCGCAGCACCAGAGGGCCACCATCCACACTGTCCCCTGGCATCCCCGCGGAGGGACTCCTGGATGCTGTGGTGTACCGCCGGCCCGGCTCCGACAAGGAGGCCCGAGATCTGAGTGACGCACTGACTCCCGGCCAGCTGCCCCTGCTTGAAGACCCCACGTTCCACGTGGAGGATGAGTCGCTGAGCCGCTGTAACAGCCGGCGCCCTTTTGACCTGCTCTCTTTTGTGGTCAGTCCCTTTCCTACATCTGCCTTTCACACCCAAAATTAGCTATAATGCTGCATGCATGATGCTTCATTTGAATGCAAATAATTAGAGGTGTATAATTTGTTACGCTTTGGAGATAGATGTCAGAGTAATGAAGACAGGGCAGCCCCATGGCATAGTACAATGGTACTCAAATGCAGGCTACTCAAATGTAAGGTACTCAAATGGCGGTCTCCAATCCTAAACTCAAGTTAATCCAGACCGCATGACCATAGATCGGTGAAATCTACTGAGAGGACCCCCCCCCGCCGACCCAAGCCATTCTAACTTTCTGCTATTCCATCTAGGTGACGTCCCCCACGCCCCTGCAGAAAAATGTGTGTCCCGATCCTCCAGTAGGTGTTGTTATTAATGAGATAAGCAGCACTGAGTGGTCCAACCATAGTCAGCAGCAGAACTTTGTGGAGTTACATGCTCCACCCATGACCAAGCTGCAGGGGCTGGTCCTAGTTGTCTTTGAAGAGGGACACGGTGGGGAAACACTGGCTGTTCCTCTGACAGGTTCTGCTGATCAGGATGGGTACTATCTCATTGGGAATGGCACCAATGCTGGTGAGCTATGGAGTTATTTTAATTTGAGTTGAAATAGTCATGTCTAGTCATTGCTTTCTTTTCTTAAAGCACCATAACTAATACTGAGGGTTCTGGTTGCTTGTCATGTTGTTTTCCTGACTGAATCACAGTTGAACCTATGACTGCGTTTTCTCCAGACCAGGCTTGGCCACTGAGGAGAAACGGTGCCGCTGTCCCAGGTTGCGGAGCTGTGGCTCTGTGCTACGGCTCCCTGCGCTACAGCAGGGTCTGCCAGCCAGAAACCAACAGTAGCATCATAGACGCCGTGGCTTTCACAAAGGATCAGAAGCTGCTGAGCATTTTGGCAGCAAGCAGTGGGTGGCAGGTGATGCCCACTCTCAGGTAAGCATTAGTCAGCGAGCGGGATAATCGGTTGTTTCTGATGACCAGCACTACGCGTTTACTCACAAACTAGCCTGAAATAGGACAGTTTGTGCATTCTGTTCTTCAATACATTGACCTTAGTTCAATCTAATCAGATGCTTTGTTACTCATTGAGAAATGCATAAGTACTTCTCAGTTTAAACAATTGATTTGTAGCTATATATCTATGGGCTATAAAAGTACATTGACAACAACTAAATATGCATCATTTCACATATTGTTAAGTCAGAGAATATCTGCAGTTGAAATGACAGTGAGCTCTTTTACTGCAGGGATGGGGGCCGGTTATGACATCTCTTCATTTCCATCTTATCTACTCTGCCCCCCCACCTCCGCTTGCAGGTCAGCGGAGGGGCCCCTTTCTCTCAGCCGCTGTTCCTGCTGTGAGGCGAGGACCCCGCTGGTGTGGACCACCTCCATCCAGACCCCGCATCTCTCCAATCTCTGTCCCAGCTCCAACTTCTCCAGCAGCGTCGCCCTGTGCCTCGGGCCTCCTGGCAGTGACGGGGAACAGCACTCACTAAGTATGTCTGTGTCTCCCTGGAAGCCACTGTGTCACAAAAGAGATGGAGTGAGACGGGGGGAGGGTTGGGGGAGGGGTGGATGTTCTGAGGGAGGGGCTGGGTCAGGGGACATGCCCCTTCACGGACCCGTAATTGATTATTAATTGTTAAGGGTGTAAAGCAGTCCTTTTTGTTCATGAGAGGAGCAAAAGAGACTGAATGGGACATTCTGGTTCTCACAGTTTCCCCGTCACTGCAGTTCTTGTTAGAGCTGAGGCAGCAGTCTTCCATATTTACTCTGATCACTGAGCCTGTCATCCCTAAGAAGCCACTTTCCACTGGTCCCAGCATCCTGTGTATAGGATCACCATCCCAACACAAATCTTATAACATGCAACAGGGGAGACAAAAGGAAAAAAAAGTTAAAGAGTAGTTGGTGGGATCCCATTTCTGGCTTAGAGCAGAAGCGCTGTGCTCCTTTTCTGAAGCATTGTGATGCAAATACACCCACTGCTGCGTCCCTCTACCTGCTGGGCTCAAGGTCTGGCCAGTACCTGACACATGAATTATCAGAGCTGCCTGTTAGCTTCACTTAACAGGGGACGAGCTTGTCAGTCATAGCTGACCTTGAGCTAGTTTATTTCCAGCATGCCAACTGTCCCCTTCTGTGCAGATTGCAGTGGGTGGAGGACGGACAACAGCAGCAGGCGTGAGGTGGAGGTGGCCATGTACCTTGAGAACTGGTGTCATTGTGGGATCTCTGCCCTCCATCTGCGGGGTAAGAAACCGACCAGCGGAGAGCGCACTGTGTGTAGGTCATCCTTCTGGAGCTTGTATCATGTAGCTTGTCTCCATCTGTGGCCTGGGATAAATGTTGTTGTGTCACATTTTTATGATGGGATGGCATGGTGTCTCAGTGAGTAGCACTTTTGCCAGACACCTTCGCTCCAAGTGACATGGCTTTACTGATTGGTGACTCTGAAGCATATAGACAGAGGTGAATAGTTCAAGTCCAGAAAGTACAAATCCAGACCAAGATTTTGTTTCAACCTGATTTAGCTGGCCAATAGAATATGATTGTTTATGCGAGGAGAGTATGGATGGATGATTTTATGACAGGATGCTGCTAAAAATCCATATCTGTAATCTAAAATTCCATATCCATAATGGATTTGAAGCCTATTGGCTTTAGTCTGCGGCAGGCAGGAGGGCCATGTGAACACAGCCAGCATCAGCCTCCTGTTATAAGACAGAAGCAGAATCGTATGATAACTCCACAGCTCAGGTATCCTCCTAGGATGTAGCGGTGGGAGGAAGAGCCGTGTCCAGTCTGCTCCATTCTACAGAATGTGGCCCGTTCTCTCAGCAGAGAGCCGGTGCGGATGAGGAGCGTCTTCAGCCGCAGGCTCAGGTCCTGGACAGGCTGAGAGCTGAAGGTGCCTCCTGCCATTTGTTTAGCGTTTACAGTCTTCATTGCTGCAGCCCCAACCTGCCCATCAAGGAGATCGGTCCAGTTGTCTCTTATCTTGCCCACCTCCCCTCATTAGATCAAGCTGCTAATCTGTTCTGTGTGGCACACTGAGGCAGGCTGGTGTTTCCCTCCCTAACAGAGGTCAACATTTCGTGCGTGGAGGGCTGGCTGAGCGTGCAGGGCAGCATCCGGGCCCTGTCTGCCCGACAGAGGGAACTGATCCAGCAGGCGTCCCGGGAATACCGGTCCCAGGCGCTCGGAGAAGGCTGCTCCAACCACACTGTGCACAAGTCTGTGGGTGAAAGTAAGTCGAGTCACGGTATCACCAGCTGTCTGCACAAACAAGGAGGATGCAGGAAGGGTAAATTACAAAAAAGTAGCTGTTTTTTGTCAGCGGATTCTATAGAACATTTCTTGGACAACCTCTGGAGAATACCTTCTCGAAAATATGAACTGGGAAGTAAAAAGATATTCGTACACAATTTTATTTTCATATAAATCACAATAGTTTTATGGATACTCTAGCATAATGGATTTGTCTGTCCAGAAAGCGCGTAGGGATTAGTGTCTTATTGTCATGTGTGGTTGGGAAGATGATTTAATATCTGCTGCAAGTCAGCATTGACATTTTAAACTATTGACGCAGTAGTTTCTTAGGAAAGACTCACCGGAAGAGACTATATATATATAAAATATAAACTTCCCCATTTATCAGACAATGAAACACACAGCATACCAAGAGTTTCATCAGATATTCATTTACACAAGACGTGCAGAACTGTGAAGCTTTATACTTTATAGACGTATCAAATGACAGAATGTGACCTCCACTCCCCTTTCACACAAAAATGTTAATACGTATTCTGTTAGCAGGCTTCTGTCGTGATACTAACTTGATTTATTTTTCTGGGACTGATGACTCCCACATGGTTTGGGTCAAGCCAACACCAGTGAACTTGTTTCACCTATGAATCCTTATTTTGTTGCAAAACCAGCCCATTTCTTGTTGCAGCGTGCCATTCTGGGTGTTCATTACAAGACTATCCACAGCTTTTTGAAGCATAATTATGTCCTGCTGTGGGAAACGGGTTGGGGTGGTGCTAAGGCAGATGTTGGATGCTTATTTCAGACGTGTCTGATTGGTGTCAGCCGAACACAGTCCCACTCTTTCGTGCATTGAACTGGACTTGCAGTCTGCACTATGCTCATGTGAAGGGATTGCTGTTTTAAAGTTAACCCTGCTGACCAGAATCCCTGATCCTGTGTGGTTACTGGAAAAAAAAACTCAATGGTCTGATGAATTCTGCTGGAAAACACAAGGCATTTGATTTTCATTCTTAAATTAAAAAAATTATGAAACATCTGCTGCTTTGCATTTGATGTGTTTATAATGAACATTTAGTCTGAATGAATCTGGTTGGCATTTGTTGAACATTCCTGTGCTGTTTTCGCTTTGTCTGTAGGGCTTGGCTTATAAATTTCTCCTCTAGCCATAAGGTTTATTTTGAGCCATCTTCTAATTATGTTTCCAAATCTGGTGTTTTTTTCCCTCTGGTAAATAGTAAATTCCGGTATTCTTGGTATTTGTTCAAATTTCCTGATGCATTTTGGCCTTGAAGCTCTCTCGCTATGTATGAGAACGTTGGCTGACACTGCCTGTTGTTGGCCGTGTTTTGTCGACAGGGTCTGCGCTGGGCTGGCAGATTGGCCTAGTGGTGGGGACATTGCTCCTGCTGGGCCTGGGAGCTGCCCTCTTTGCGTATTTCTACAAAAAGAGGTAAGTGGTATCATTTCAGCTGGACTTCGGAAGGGATCTGAGTAGCACAAAGCCGTTAGCTCCATGCTAATGTGTTTTGCTCAGGGCTAATAAGCTATCTCTTTGGTTTAAAGGAATACATGAGAGGTATAGAGATGGGGAGGATACTGTTTTTGTCATGCATCCAAATTTGATCTAATTATTAATATTATTGCAATTTAAAGGGCAGAGTGGTGCTGCACTGGTTAGCACTGTTGTGTCACCACACAGTTTGAGTCTCCACCATGGCTGCATGTGTGGAGTTTGCATGTTCTCCCCATGTCGTCGTGGGGTTTCCTCCAAGTACTCCGGATCCCCCCACAGTCCAAAAACATGCTGAGGTTGATTGGTGTTACCAAACTGCCCATAGATGTGCATGTGTGAGTGACTGGTCTGTGAGTGACTGGTCTGTGAGTAACTGGTCTGTGAGTGAGCCCTGTGATGGGTTAGTCCACCATCCTGGGTTTTTCCCTACCTTGTGCCCATAGCCTCTGGGATTGGCTTGAGACCCCCTATGACCGTGAATAGGACAAGTGGGTACAGATAATGGAGGGATGATTAGAAATTATTTAAATCTGATGCATTTTAGTCAGCTGAGGAAAAACAAATACCATGTCATGCGAGTTCCTGTAATGCTGCACATAAGGATTCTGGGATGTCCTGTTATGAGCACCAGATTTGTGTGCGGCGTTTAGTAAAAACACACTCCCTGAAACATATTATCAGCTCCATCCATACACTTTTTTCACCTAATTGGACTATATTTAAAAATCAAGATATCCTCAGGACACACCAGTTTCAATGTAGTACTTCCAGGGAACGGGTTGGGTTAAACGGGTACAGGTTATTATCAGCTATAACGGGTACAGGTTATTATCAGCTATAACGGGTACAGGTTATTATCAGCTATAACGGGTACAGGTTATTATCAGCTAAAACGGGTACAGGATATTATCAGCTATAATGGGTACAGGATATTATCAGCTAAAACGGGTACAGGTTATTATCAGCTAACTAGCACCATTTAACCAGAGAAACAGGTTGCAATGAAAAGGCACTGGGGGGTTGAAGTGGACCTGCATGCTGGTGACGGCTGCATACTGCGCGTTCTCTCCTCTCCAGGCAGCCTAGAGACTACTTCTCAATGGAGCTCAACGAGAATGAAGAGGAGCCTGACCAGCTCTAGCAGTGTGCTAGCCACCCCCCGGCACTCCAATGGTTCTGGATAAATCTTGATGAGCGTCTTGCCACTGTCTGACTACTTCCAGTCACACTAAAGAGAATGATGCTAAAGTTAGCATACATGCTAACTGTATTGCGCTCGCATCTCGCCACTGAAGTTTCCGTACTTATTACTGCACTGCCTTGTGTTGCAAGGGTCACCACTGGTGTTTCATTGAAATTTTAAGGTTTTTTTTTATTTTTTAATGAAATATTTGTATATTCTTCTTGTACAAGCAAATTTCTGTAATATGTTTGGTTCCAAACACCAGGAAAAACATAATCTGGCAGCAAATTACCTTAGAGTTTTAAAATGACTTACATCTGTTATGTGTCACTGAAATGGTACAAAGCAGCAGGGTGAATTAAAACTGCTGCTTCCACAGCCTTTCACATGTATAAGCAAGTGTTCTTTGCTCATGATTCAAACTAAATTTGTTATAAAATGTGTGTCATTTCTTGATGATCAAATTTGGGATGAAGGACCCAGATGGCAGCTCCCTCTTCAGGCAGCACTTATACAGTAACACTGTGTTTTGTGGGGTACAAATATGGCAATAGGCATTGGCAAAAAAATACCCGGGTAATGTCCATAACAGTAACCATATCCAGTAAAACTTCATAAGGCTAATACAGCAACAGTGCATTTTATTGATTAATATTAAAATATGCCCTTATTTCAGTTTGTAAACAGTGCTGGATATTCTGAGGGGAAAAATCGATTTCATTTCAATTCAAATATACAGTACATTACAGAAATATCGAGATTTTTTTTTTAAATCATTCAAAAAAGAAAGTGTGTTTGTTATTGGTGTGCATATTAATAATCATTCATATGAACACCAATAACAATCACCTAAGAAGCTATTTGCTCCAGCAGCATGAACTAATGTTTAAGCACTAAGTGCACCCCAGCCCTCCGTTCAGCGTCTCTGGGATCATTAGGCCTGGCCTTTAGCCTTCAGTCCTTGCAGCAAGGCAGACCTCATTACTGTGGTGGCCAGTTTCCGATGTGTGGGCACGCACCACCCGAAACAAAGCATCAGACAAAAGGCGATTCAGGCTCTGGCAAAGCCCCTTTCTCGAACCACGGTCTCGGTTTTAGTGTTATAAACCCATTTCTGAAGTAACTACTCTTCTGAGAATTTGTGGTGAATTGTGGATTAAATTAGAGCAGACATTTGACTATGCATAATTATAACTTGGTTTTATTCTTTTCTTGCTCTGAAACGGCTCTTGGCAATTGAGCGACAGCCCTTGGCTTGTTTAGTGGAAATGTATAGGGCGTTAACATTAAGGGACACTGGAGAACGTTAATCTAGAACAAAACTTCCAGCAAATATCAGACATAATAACAATGCTACACCAAGTATGTACAAGCAAACAACAAGCAAACCAAGAGTGAATCCAGCTCTAGACTCAAACCTAACTATCCCCACACCCAGAAACAAAAAGGTGACAAAGCCAAATAAATTCTAACAGCTTTCCTACTGTAAACATAGAACAAACACACAAAATAATTGGGAAAAAGTAAATAGCACAAAAATCCACATACAATACAACTAACTCTATGCCAATAGAAAGAGCCCCCGTGCAGAGTGCCTCCACTTTTCACTCCTCACATGGGGATGGGATTGGCAGATACAGTCCTGCCTTCCAGGTAACGGCTAACAGGAAACTGGGAACGCATCCTCCAAGATTAATAGAACATGTTATTATTATTATCATTATTACAAATAATGATCTTTATTATTAGTATTCATTAATAATGCCACTTCATTGATCCCCTTGGGTGAATTCCCTTTTTGCCTACCTCATCTCGCTCTTCATGACACACATGTAGGTGAGAGCAGGCTCAGCAGTGAAAGGCAGCCGCCAGCAGCAGTGCCCACGGGGGGGGGTTAAGGGCCTCGCTCAAGGGCCCGCAGACGTGACTATTCTGTCGAGGCCGGGCTGGAGACCTGATCACAGGCACAAATGCTTAGCCTGTTGCCACACACGCTACCCCTTAATAAACAATAATGTAACCAATCACCAATGTTGCACGCACACACACACACACACAATAGGCTGACGGAAACAACCAGGGGCCTGTATCACAAAGATGATGCATTTTTGAGTTAGCAAAATAACTTATCGGATTTAAGGTGGTCTTGGCTAAATGTAAGCGGACGGAGATGAAGTCCATTTAAATTGGGGTACCTTAAATCCGACAAGTTGTCTAACTAACCAACAAATAATGCTTCATGATAGGGGCCATATTATTGCAAAACACAGTAATTATGTCCCAGTGGCAGCTTATATAAAGCTGAAGTAGCAGGACTCCTTTTGAATCCAGTTGTTGACATTATCGTGACACATTAACTCGCTAAAGGTACCCTAATAAATGCCCATGCTGGCCTAAGGCTGTTTTTAATAGACCATTTTATACACTGTTGTGGTTTCACAAGCAGGTATTCTAAGCTAATGAGTCAGGCCCTGTTGTAATTACAGTGCAGAACTGGAGAGTGTCCATAATAATTTGCTGAGTTTTTATAAAGGCACAGTAATTACTGAGCAAATACTGGGGATCAAATCTCTAATGCCAAATCATTAAACATCTTGCAGTCACAGTAGTCCACAGATGAGGGGCGTATACACACACTAATTTACAACAACACATGAAAAGGCATTTAAGCATCATTCTAAAAATGTTATTTTATTCAGGTTTAAAAATAGTATATACAGAATAAATATGATGGTTCCTTATTTGTACTATGAGGTTGCAGGTCCAGGCACCATAAATATTTACATTTATTTTAGAAGATGCTTTAATCCAAAGCAACATACATTTTTTGAGAAAGCAGGGTCAGACAATTCCTGGAGCAACTGGGAGTTAAGGGTCTTCCCAACTGTGACATCAATCGAACTGGATTTGAACCAGTGACCTTCCAATCATGAGCACCACTGATCCTTTCAGTAGAACGATTCAGCTAAAAAAGGGCTCATACTGCTTTTCCCAGTGTCAGTACAGGGTTTGTGTATTTTTGACACTGACATTGATTTTCTCGATCTTGGAAATTCTGTGGCAGCATATATATGTAGGTATGTGCATATATTGACTGAATTTGGATCTATAAGCATCCACCAGTCACCAGCACTGAAGTAGACAAGCCAGAGTGTATGAGCAGCAAGTCTCCAGCAGTTCAGAAGTCATTGTCGCTCTCATCAAGCAGCTCGGGCTGGCGGGGGCCACGGGACGGCCGTGGCATCTTGGGAATGGGCACCTCCAAGCTGTCGTTGTCATCCTCACGGTCCCCATTCTCTTCTCCGTCAGCCTCATCTTCATCATCCTCATCCACATCAATCTCGCTGTCCTCAGACGATTCCTGCGGGACCAGCCGCACACGTCAACCCAAGCTCCCCGAATCCCAGCATGTTGGCAGCTGAGTATGCTGATCTTTTTCCATTAGCTCCTATCCCATGGGTATGTCAGCCATTGTGATGCAGTGGTGTCCATGTCATAAAGGGAATTAAACTCATAGCAAAATGAGAGTTAATGAAAAGCCACTGATTGACAGCATGGGAAAGGCTATAAAAAACTGTCACCTCCTCAAAGGCCCTCTGGCTAAGCCTCGAGGAACTTGAGTTCCTCAGATGAAAGGACGCCGTATTTTCTTATTCATTTCTAAAACACTGAAGAATCAGTGCTTCTTTCCTTAAACCAGTTTGTATTTACCAATAGTAATTACAAGTAGGTTTCAAGACAATGGCTACTACAATACTACCAAACTGGGCTATACTGGACAACACCAGGGGTCTCATGTATAACCACTGCCTACGCACAAGTCGGAACCTGAAAGAGGCGTACACAACTTCCTGCGAAAGCGTTCTCAACTACAGAAATAAACATGGCGGCAGAATGTGTGTATCTGTATGGAAACTCTGACCCATGCACACAAACATTTTAGAGAAAATTGGCGACCCAGGTGGAGACGAACTGAAGCCAGATTGTAGGAAAAAAATGCAAGTGGCATCATTACACATATAATGTAGTATCATGCTTGAGAGTCATAACTCTTATTTAATTTCACCTCATAGCCCACAACACACATATATCTACGTTATTATAGGAAAAAGGCATAATGTAATATTTAATCAGTGCTGTCGGCACCACAGCTGTTGAAATGTGGATGCATTTCTGCTGGATATGACTGGATTATCATGATCATTTGAACAAAGTGTGCAGTCAATAAGTCTGATTGCTGGAAACATAAATACTACGGCCACACACATGCAGCACGTTGCATAATGGATTGTTCTTTTATAAATCTCATGTATTGTCCTGTTTGCTGCGCTCACAGCAATAACGGGATCTGGAACGTGTTGCCATTCACTGCATTGTTAGTCTCTCACGAGCACCTCGATTTCAGTTTCAGAAAAGTTTTTCTTGCGCTTCTTTTCGGTTGCCATGATAAGTAAACATTTATCAGGCTTAATTTGTATACATCAGTATTCATGAGGTGTTTTGCATTGACCGTTTATAATTAAATGTGTGCGTGTAGAGGGCAGAATATGAGGCTGCTCCATGTGCGCAAAATTCCAGGTAGAGTGTGATTTATAAGGAGAACATTGCTTACAATCTGACTTTTTGCGCACTCCACTTTATCTTCTGTGCGTCCGTATAGTTTTAGTACAAGTCCTACGCACAGTTTCATAAATGAGAACCCACAACACAATTTCTAACCACAACTGGCTTCTAATGGGCTGGCTCTGCTGATCTCGATTCTCCAGATAGTTCTGGTCTTTTCCCTTTTTCCCACTTTATCTTGGGGGGGACGACTTACCGGCTAAAATCATACATGTTGAGCCCACGAGAAGCCGTGGACGGGGGCCTATTCATGACAGAGAACCAACCTTTCTCCTCCGGGGAGTGGAAGTTTGTAGATGTGAGCTGGATACATTCATAATGGGCTTTTTGAAAAAGCATGAGAGAGAGAGAGCGAGAACTGAGCAAGGGGCAGGGGGGTGTGGAAGGGGGGAGGGGCTCATTAGGGAAGCCTTGTGGGTTTCATTCGTCTTGGAAAGAATGAAGGAGTGTTAGGTTAAATTAACCAAAAAGAACAAATAAAGAGTAAAAACATTTTGAAGATTGACTTCCTGTGACCACAAACTCTGAACCCACAAAAACTGTGGTTAGCCCCCTTATAGCTTTCTACAACACAAAACTTCAGCTGAACAAGTAATCAAAGAGTGAAGAGAGGCAGTGACTTCCAGAAAGCTTTGAGTCTGCAAGTCACCACTGCTTTTGAGTGGTTATAGTAGGAATCCTTTAACTTCTAGGACTGACCTCTTCACTGTCTCCTCCTTGCATGGTGCCCACAAATCGAGCTCCTGATCGCCCTGCACAGGAGAAATTAAGGGTTATCCTATGCTGCTGGCCCCTTCCCACTGATTTTCATGAATTTTGGACCAACGTAGGAAAAAAAGCACTCTCACGTATCTTATATTTCACATTTCCTCTTACAATAACAAACATCAGACAAATAAAAGCCACAACATGCCCACGTTTGCACAGGGAGAGATTTACTGAGCAAGCAAAGTACCTGGCATTGGTGCATTTCGGAGGGGGTGAGGCTTGGGTGGTCTACGCTCCTCTATGTCACTATCCGAGCCCTCATCCTCTGGAATGTCCATGTCTGAATCTTCATCCTTAGCTGCTGCTAAAAGATGAACACCTTTCTACAATTATGGTTTTGAAAGCGCCAGAACATTCGGTTTCATGTCAAAAAACAAAACATCTTCATAGCTGATAAATATTGATAAAAGCCAACATTGTTGACAGCTCTTTGACGTCTGTGGCTTTAGAGAGCGATTTCACTGCTGGGCCTCTGAGCGAGACCCTTAAAGCCCTACTGCTCCAGGGCCTGCAGACCCTGCAGTCTCTATGCTACACTGCTTTGAAAAAAAGTCCCTGCTAAACAAATAAATGTACGTATTCTTTCTTCTGGCTTTACAAATTCAGTTCTATTAGTGAAAAAGATGTGTATGGATAAAAGATGTATAGATGAAATGAGAAAATTAGAAAACGACTTTGGAATTTTTCTAGTCTACAGGTGTGCCTATTGGTCTTTTTCTATTTTACAGTTAGCATGGTATATTGCATGATAAAAGAAATTAGTGCAGAGCTGACCTGCAAATGAAAGATCGAGTGACTTTGCAGTACAATCATTATAATTCTCAGGGCTCCCGATATAAGGGAGCTGGGAGGGAGTAAAAATGTGGACTGTCTGTGGGTCCTCTTTGACCGAATATGGAAACGCTGGATTAGTGAGTCCTGAGGGACTAGAGCCCATCCAAAGCAGCACAGGTCACAAGAGCGGGGACAGGCAGTGTAGTATGACAGTCCATTGCAGTGTGCAGTGTGCAGTGACAATAACAAACTCTGGGCAGCTTAGAAGTAACAGGGAATGTTTTTGGACTACTGGAGGAAACCCATGTCAGGTGGAGCTGGGAAAGGATTCGAACCCCAAGCCCTGGAGGTGTGAGTTGACAAACAGCAAAGTAGCATGTCGGGGTGGATGTGTGAGCTACCTCCGCTCTTCATCAGCCTCCTCTCCTCCTCTCGCAGTTTCTGTTGCATCACACGCATGGCATTCTCCGTCTCCTGCGTAACAGACAGACACACCTTCTAGTTGGCATGCCGCTCTTGCTGTTGGCATGTAGGGAATATCAGTCCCCCCAAGGCAGCTCTCGGCGTCTTCACCTCAAACCTCTCTTGCTCCACCCGGTGGTAGTCCTCCAGCTGTTGCTCCAGGAAGCTCAGGTTATGGAACTTCTCCACATAGATGTCATACTGCTTCTGCAGGTCCTCTTCAATCTTCTCATACTCGTCCATAAACGCCGGCCTGAGGAAGGCAAGCAGTAGTTCCAGTAAGTGCTTTAACATTCTTAATTACTATTATTATTCTATTTTTATTTGGCAAGTCATAGCCATAATTGCCAACCTCATGGATCCTTGATAGCAAGTCAATCATTAGTGAGGTTCCCCACTCACCGCACACTTTGTAGTGTCTGCAGACGTTTCTGGTTCCTCTCAAGCTCCTGTTTCTTCTTCTCAATCTTTGCCTCCAGGCTGGCCTCATCCGATGACACATTGTTCAGCATGCCTTCAGTCTTCTGCATATTTTCCTGAAAGCGGAAGAGGTTGATTTCTGTGTAGTCGTCAGATTCTGTGAATGTTTGCCAACAAGCTGAGTGTACAGCTGACAATTTAAAGGCCCCTAAAGAATTTTCTGTACGTTTTTTTTTCTCCCCTTTTTATACTTTGTTTTTGGAACAGAGTGGAAAGACACAGTACAATAAGCCATTTCATGTTTAAATGTACATTTGCAATCATTTACTTTCACTAAATATCTACAGGCAAGATTTTGGCTATACGTCATTAAGAAAATGTCCTTTAGATTAATTTGGAAAAATCATTTACGCATTACTCTTCATAAGGGTCATTTACCTAAAGTATATAAGAAGTTACAGTAACCTAACTACACATTGACAAAAAAACTGAAGAATTTCACAAAGCATATCAGAGCCTTTTAAATGTTTGCTTTTCACACCAGGTTAAGCTTCATTTTGCCTGCACTGCGGCATTCCCTTCCGCACCAGTACATGCACAAATATGTGGGAGACTTCCATGTGTCTGGAACTCACCAGGACCTCTTTAATGGCTGATCGCAAAGCTTTCTCTGTCTCATTAATCTCTAGGGGTCTTGCGATGGCAGCAATCCTCATTTCCTAGAAGAGGGAAAAAATATGCAAAAGATGTATGTCCCAGAAACAGCATCATCTCACAGTCAGTCGAGTAAAACACGGAGACAAAGACAGTGATGACATCAGGTGTACTAAACACTGAAGACAATCATAAAACTTCATGCTGAATTCGTATTTACACTGTTGCTAGAATGGACCTTGATACATGGAGCACGGAGGGACAAATACAAGCTTGTTCCTTACCCTTAAATCCACCTCTTTCCCGAGCAGGTCATACAGTGCGGCACCTTTAGAGGTAATCTCCGATGCCAGCTGTCTTGCTGTTTTCAAATCAGCAATCTGTTTTTAATTAAAAAAAAAATAAAAAATTGGCACTAAGCTTGCAGTGTCAATAAATCAGGAAGATACCCGAGGAATACTGGCTTCAGTGGCAATGTGCTTTGGAGAAACTAGAAGACCTAATGAGATTCCGATTGGGTAACATTCCACGAGCTGATGATCAGGAGGCCCCCTACTGCAGAAAAGGCGATCGCTATGATCATTCATAACTCCTCACTGGATGCTTCTGTGCCATTCTTGAGGTTCCCATTTAAAGGCTCGATTTCCTCTTGACCTTTATTCAACTTGTTAAACCATTATTTCCCGGCTTGTCCACTACTGCTTGAATAAAGACTTTTTATTATGGGTGTTACAGTACACAAAATTCACAGTTCAACACAATCCTCTGTTTTGGATTCACAGTTTGGGGCAATTTCAGTACAGCAGGGAAAGTAAAATTTGTTTTGAAAATACTGATTAATAAAACTGCAAACAAACAAAATTACGAGCAGTTGTAACGCAAAGGTAATGTGTGTGTCATGGGGAGACACTATTTCTGCCCTGTTCCAATTGTACACACTCAGATTATGTCTCAAATAAGTTAGCATATTGGATGTGTTTCCAGGAACAAATCAGAGTTCAGAGTAACTGAGCTGATACAGTATTGTTCTTATCAGCCGCTCTCTCTCCAGTGTTGGTGTAATTTATTGGGAACCAAAGAGCTCAGGATAAATATGTATATTGTTACAGCCCTACTTTTTATAGACAATCACATTAAAGATGGAAATATTACAAAGTACTCATATACTCCCAAACTTACATCAAGAAAATTATTTTGTTAGTAAGTCACATCATCTCATTTCTACACAAGTTATTTTCCAACCAAAATATACTTAAATATTAAAATATTCAGTAAAGTAATATTAAAGCATCTATTGAAGCATCTTCTCACTTTTTATCCTGGAGCCAAAACTGCCTTTAGTGTGTGATCCTGTCCCTGTATGTGTCCTGCATTTGACTGCTACCCCACCCAGCACGTACCCCTGTCTTGTGCCTCAATATCAATGCCACATTTTAAAAGTCCATGTAACTATTAGCTCCAGTTGTCCCTCTTACCTTGGAACCCAGGTCAAATTTGAACTTGCTGCTGTCCTCTTCCGGCTTGTCTCCAGCAGTCAACTCCTTGGTCTTCATGGCGTTGTACAACACGGACGTGATCTTCAGCATCTCTTTCACAGCGTAGCCGTCGGCCTGGTACAAGCGTTTAGTGTTCACCTTGATGTGAGCCTTTGTAGCCTGAACAGAACCCAAGCAGCAGATCCCACGTAAGCGAATACACCTCAGGGAAAGAAGAAAAATTCCCATGGAAATCCGATGCATGCAAAAAGTATGAAATATCACTCTGCTGAAATTTATAACTTATTTTCTCTAATGAGAACGTATTATAATTGATCACGGTGCACTATAATTTATAATTTAGATTAAACATTTGCACGATGTTACATGGCTTCATAAAATGTTTGATAAGGGTAGAGATAAATCAATCCTCAAAGAATGAAAGGAGATGGAAATAGAAAAAAATAGATAGTTATCAATGGTCAACTTCTGACTAAATGAAACCATTACCATGAACTGAGCAATAGCTTTAATGAAGAAAACCCGGTCGGACTCAGTTTCGACGTCACTGGGAATGTCCGTCTGTGGCTCATATCTAAAGAGGAAGCAAACATGGATACCTTGTTCAGACCTGTTAAAGTATATGGTGATGTTGCTCATTCTTGGATGCCCAGTAAAATTAACCTAACAAAACACCACACAGGAGCCACACATACTGAAGCTAACCGGCCAGGAGGCTTTCTGTGCCTGTCTCCTGGGGGGTATTCCATGAAGGAGGATTTCTTGCTTAGCCAGATAACTCCTTGGATTTAAGGTAGTCTGGGCTAAATCGACTTTATTTTCATTCCCTTTCTTTTAGCCCAGACTACCTTAAATCCGACAAGTTATCCGGATAAGCAAGAAATCCTGCTTTGTGGAACAACCCCCTGAGAGCTCCCCAGAAGACATTGATTCCTCCAACTCACTCACTTTCGTTATTATTCCAGATGTTCCTTGTTTTTACTTCCCTCAAAGAAATAACTGACACAGAATCTGACAACTACACAGAAACCAGCCTAGAATTTGTATCAGAATGCACCCTATTGAATGTATAAAATGTACACAATTTTTACAAAAAGCAACGGTTTTCCTGAAAACAATGGGTAGGCCGGTGTTGGGTGAATAGACCCCTAACTGCCAAAAATGTACTTTATATGTTATAATGAAAGTCAGGCTAATTGTTTGATAGTATACCTAACAATAAGGATACCAAGTGATTGCTGATATGAAGACTGAACAGTCTTGAATTCTGCCTAATTTTTATCTAATCCTATCACAGAATTCCTTATTAACACAACATGCATCTCAAAGGCAGGGCGACTTTTCCACATATCAAATATGAAATCCAAGATGTTTCTTTCAGTCCAAATGTTAAAACCGTGTGGCCAGAGAAACCCATAATTTAGTAGAATCAGATGTAAACCACCTACTGTGTTTTTAGTTCTTAATAAGATCTTATCAATACGATTGCAATACACACCTTTTTACAAGCCAGATCAGAATCTCAGCCACCAGGGTGAAGTTTGGAGTCCTGAAGTTTTCCATAGAAATCAGACGAGGATACCCCAGGGTCCTCATCATCTCCGTAAAATCTATTTAACGTGAAACACTTTTACCGACGTATAATCCAAGTAAAGAGTGATATGCTTAATTTAATTACAGCCAGACTTCAATGATGTATAAAATCCATGCAGTCAACAACAACATTTTTATCCAATACAATGCAAAACGACTTCAGATGCAGAAAATACTCACTTCTTAAATCTCTAAAAGACATGACGAGTTTGCATTTACTTTCTCCTAAAGTGCACGAGAAAAAGAAATAATAAATAAACAGAAATGGGGTGAAAAACATAGCACCAGCGTCTCATATATACACGAAGCTAAGTATTACATAAAATACAAAACTGACGTGTAAGAAAACTACTTAGCTAGAAATATATTTCGATTATCAATTTTCAATAACTCTAATTTACCTTAATTGTGTCCTCTTAGCGATGTTGTGCTATGTATCGAGCTTCTATTATTTGGTTAGCTATACAATTAAAGTGGCAGCTAACTGATTTGAGGAATCCAGTGACATTTTTCGTCTCTATGGTATCTCAAACACTCATACGGATACGGAAGCCGCTAATAGCCAAACAGTCTCAAAACGCATTTCAGGGGTCGAAACAGTCGTGTGACAACACTTATTTATATTATGCTTCATAAGCATAGGATATGAATATCTAATTATGTTTTTATTACCCCGAATAACTCTGAATTGTTGTACCCCTGTGTTTAAAAAAAAGGTTTAAAACACGTTGAATTGCCTCCGTTTTATTCAGTACCCATTTATTGTGATCTCCATGTAAATAAATTGTTTGTATGTTTCTGACAATGTAAAATAACCTTTGTTTATTGTCAGCGTACTTAATAATTAATTAATAATTTAAGATGTTTTCTTACAAAGAATAATGCGAAATGAAACATAGTTTAACAATAATTTTACGTTTTTGTGAAAACATACTTCTCTTCTGTACCTTGAAAAGTATTTTCTTATAATTACTTTTAAATTGTAATATTTATAGTGAAAAGTGACAGCAAAAAATGAAAATAATAATTTTAAACAACATTTCCCAAAAGCCTTGCCTGCCCGCGGGACGTCGCTGCGTATTACGGGTTGCCGTTGGAAACGGCGGCTCGAGCCGCGGGAGTATCAAGATGCGTATACAGTTAGACGGGCAGTTAGCCAGCTGCCTGAAGCAAGAATTAGCTATGGATCGAGTTGTTTACAAAATGATTCGAAGCGACACGTGTTTTATACAGAATTGTTCTTAAAATAAAGACGTAAATATGTGCCCTTGTCGTCGTATTATCTAAAAAAAATTGTCAGAAAAGTTTGATGGGGAGTTTTACACTTTAGCTACTTGGCTACCTAACTAGCTACTGTGTCTAAGTAGCAAGCCTGCTAACAACTGCTCAAGCGGCGGCTGATCACTGCATGACTCATGACCATGTCCTCGAAAGGTAATTTGTTATATTTATTCATTGCAATTAGCACCCTTACCTGTAATGTGCGCTAACTATCTGGGCTATCTGGTTTTAGTATCATAGATTTTAGATTCATACCAGAGTAATAGATTTTAGTTAGTTTTTCATGCATTTAATTATGCGAATCGCACGACTAAACGACCAACCCTCCTGCACTGATACAGGAAACAAGTGCTATTCATGTTTGTTGATATGACAGTATGTTCTCCCGTTCTACTGCAGTTTGGCAGCATCCTTATGTTGATATATTCAAGCACGTAAAGGTTGAAGAATGGAGAAAGTCATCCAAAGAGGGAGATGTCACCACCTATATGGTAATAATCTTTTATTGTCTTTTAGTATCAGTGTTTCATCGGATTTAAATAATATGATAGAATCTAAGCTTTATCATCTGTCATGAATCTGATTTAATCGTGTTTCATTTATTTGTCATCACTGCAGGACAAAACATTGAAAGCATCAGTTTATCGAATACGAGGATCAATTCCAGCAAGCAACTACATCCTTTTGCCCAAAACCATCAGCCAGTCACTTGGACTGACTGGACACTATTTCTATCTGCTCTTCAGACCCAGCCCTACAAAACACTTTGTTGTTCATTTAGATGTTGCCTCTGAGGTACAATACTGCACGCATACTGCACCCCCCCCCCCTTTCCTTTTGATTTTCAGCACATTGATATATAGTACCATGCAAAAATCTTATGCAGTCAAAGAAAATGTTTAAAACTGTTTATCTCAGTAGTAAGTCTATATTTGCTCAGAGAAACAAAAACGCAACTTAACATTAGAAAGTATGCAAAGTCACAGTGACAGAAACAATGAGCAAGAACATCTTTTGTTCTCCAAAAAGTTACTGATATCTTCTTGGATGGCTAAATGAGCACTGCTTCAGTTCCCAAACCTCTTCTCAGGGGCATCCCCGCCATTCCACGCATTTGTTAAATTTTATCACCAGCTCAATTAATTAATGAACTTAGTTAGTTCAACAGCTAATTGGGTTATTGATTAGCCATACAAGGCGGAGTAGTGGTCCAATCAAGAAAACACTGGCGTATTGGATTTTTGCTGCAGATCCTGGGGTAACTTAAGAGAGGTTTGAAATGGCTAAGCTTTGCAGACATAATATCACAGTTTTACACTAACACAAAGATCATTTAAACATTATTTTCTTTGACTGCCTAGGACTTTTACTGCATAATTTGAAAATTAACTGTACTGTATGAATATTGGGCAGATTTAACTGGACATAATCGGCGAATAATGTGTAATGAGGCTTGCAGTGATTTAGTGTTGTTGCTCACATATAAGACACAAACAAATACAGTGCAGAATGAAACATGGTGCCTCCGGGAACCATTGTGAAATTTAAAATGGCAACACAGTAAAATTAAAGAGATAGATCATAAATAAGAGGCAATAAAGATGATAATGTAGTAAATAATAACAGTAATGAAAAATGTGTGCATTTTTGCATTGTTGAGGCTATATGAATTTGTTAAAGTAGCAGTAGGATTAATGTGTGTATGTAATTTTCATGAGTAGTTACCTAGGCAATGTAGCCTGCCATATTTGACATGTACAATAAGCAGGATGTTGTTTCTCTGTGCCTTTTAGGAGGGCCAAGCGATCCGCATCTCCTTCTCCAACCTGTTCAAGGAGTTTAAGTCTACAGCAACCTGGCTGCAGTTCCCCTTCCTGTGCGGAGCATCCAAAGGCTCTGTGTACGAGGCCACAGCCAAGACAGCAAGACCTGGTAAGCAGCAAAGGAGAGAGTTTGACACGGAAGATTACTGCTGTCCAAAACGTGATGCCGTCTGAGCTTACTGCAGATCCTTATTCATATGGCACAGATAGGTCAGGGTGCTTATAAATACTGCCTGGTAGTTTTTTCTGTAAGGCATTTCTTCTGTTTATATTCGAGATTCACGGAGGGGATTGTTATTTGTGCCTTTAGACCTGGGGAGTCCTGCTCCAGCCCGTGTGCGCTGGACCTGTCTGGTGCTGGACCTGCGGTACATCCTATCTGTCTACCTGAACCGGCGCCACAGCCACCTGAAGAGCGTCAGGCTGTGTGCCAGCATGTCCGTGAAGAACCTCTTCACCAGTGACATCTTGTTTGATCCTGGTACAGTATGAGGTGTTCAGAGTGCAGATACAAGTGTGGTGAGTGTGAAAAATGCTCCAGAAAAACCCCGGTGCTGCATTGTTGTTGGCATTTAGGGATGTCGTTCGCCGAGGCCAGACAGGTGGGAATGCTGTCCTTGTCTGGCACTGGACCGATGCCACGGGTGATGTGCTTCCCTGTGCCCAAGGGAGAGAACTGGCACAATTTGTATGACTATATCAGGTGCGTGTCATCAGTGTTTGCCTGATATTCAGCAGCTGTGCATTAAAGCTCTCTATGAGATGTCACATATTTTGAATGGCTCAGAACTGTTATCTAATCTCCCATAATTCCTCCTGTGTGTCACATCATTCAGGTTTCCTTCTAGTGGAGCCAAGATGCCCCATGATTCCTTTAAGAAAGCGGAAAGCAGTCCTGCCACCAGTGAGTCCATCGTACAATCTCTGTGTGTTTGCGATAAATGTGCCAATTTAAAGCCTTCCTTCCTGTGTTGCTTTTATGGGAAGGTATCACTACATGCGACAGCTCACCGCGAGAGCTGTCACACAGTACGAGCATCAGCAAGCCTGTGCAGGACAGGATCTCACTCATCCATCAGATCACCACCCCAAAACCAGTACGTGCTGCTTCATGCTGTCTAATTGTGATGTTCATTAGAAGGCATCACATTGAGTAGTAATACTTTCCATTAGTGATAGTGGTGCTTACCCAATACTCTTCGAATTTGAAGAGCATTTCTCTCTTGATCTGAATGTCTTTTATGTAACTGTGTATCAGTCTGGCTTGGTTCTCTTTGATGGTATCCTATGGTGAACAGCCCATAATCCATCCTTCCATAACCGCTTATCTAGGACAGGATCCAGCGAGCCTCACGATGCAGGATGAGATGCCAGTCTACTGCAGTCAGGTTTTCGTTCTCTCCTCAGAAACCGAGCCAGCGCACTCCTCTGGTCTCCGGCAGCGTGCCTGAGCTCGGTACATTGCCTGCTCAGTCCCTCACCCACAACCGGCCAAAGAACTGGAGGCCCCAGGAGAAGGAGGAGCCCCGGCAGGAGTTCGCTGCCTCTGAGGAGGGCGACAGGGGTGTGCATGTTTTTGTACATCAAGACGACGACGTCGTGACTTCAGGAGCAGACAGTGATGAGGAAGAGGTGAGTTTTTCCAGATCTGGGACTTTGAGCTAGTCTATTGTGATTGTCCTTAAACAAGCAGTACATAATTCCCCTTCTCCTTCAACAGTCATTCACACATCATAAAGCTGGCATTTGCCATGATATTTATTACTATAGATGCTGTGTGCCAGAGTCTCACGTCCAATTCAGCTGCCTTCAAAGAAGGATACTAACCAGCAGGTAGGAACTAAACAGGGATTATGGAGGCTGAAGTCTGTCTTCATTAGTAACAGTGTTTCACTGATGGTCCCTCATCCTCATTGGTCAGAAGCTGCAGCCTGACCCCATCCTGAGGCTGAACAGGATCATTGGTTTTGGGGGCTGCACCACCAAATTCGTAAGTGTCCACATCCACACACTATTCATAAACCAGTTTAAAACCCCAGCCGCTTGTAATGAGAAGGTTAAAATACCCACTTCCTTCCATAAGGCTCTGTGGACCAGATCGGGAGATTCGGTGGTGTACCCCTGTCACGCCATGATCGTCTCCTTGGAGATCGCCACAGGGGAGCAGAGGTTTTTCATTGGCCATACAGATAAGGCAAGTGCTGACAACACTGAATCAGGACTTCACACGTGAGACATGACTGGGATTTTTAATTAAATAGTTATTCAGGTACTGCCCCAATTAGCAAAGACCAAACTAGGCACAAATTAAAATTTCTATTTCAAATTCTGTCTTCTATGTTACATTTATACTTATTATTGGTGTGTGTAGAATAGCAGTACAGCTTTTTGTGAAGTATGTATACATAAATATCTCACATAAATGATGTGGCCTAGCAAAGTTGGGGTAATAATTATTGTATAAAAACCTGATTTTTCATTACCTTTCTATATATCATTTTATTCAGTAGCTGCTCATCAGTGATTAATAATAAAACTCTCAGCAGTTCACCTATAACATGGCTGCCTGTTTCTTTTGGGACCCACACAATTCTGAGTGACAGTTTATTAAACAGGGAGGTAAAAGAATTAATGTAGCATGTTCGTATTATTTTGGCTTTAAGTTGTAAAATTGAAAAGTCTGTCACTGACGGCCCGTTGGGCTTGCAGGTGTCTGCGCTGGCATTCAGCGGCAGCGGGACCATGCTGGCATCTGCGCAGACGGGCAGCCTGGGTGTGGTGCGCGTGTGGGACTACCAGCGGGGCAGCTGCGTGGCCATGTTCAAGAGCCTCGCGCGCTCACTGTCCTCGCTCAGGTACAGTACCGCCTGCGTCAGCCGCAGACCCCTAACTCAGCATCCTGTGTCATCAGTGCCTTTATCAATTAACAATGTCAGTGATGTATGACATACTTTGTGATGTATATCAAACTTCTGGGCACTATGACTAACCTGCATGGGCTAAATAACATAACACTAGCCTCACCCCCCCCCCCCCCTTTTTGTTTTCAGTTTCTCATATAACGGGGGGGTGCTATGTGGTGTAGGCAGGGACAACCATGGCAAAACTGTGAGTATCATATGTTTACCTCTGTATGTCAGTCCTTATTGAGTAATACTTGAGTAATCAGTTGTTGATAGCTAAACTGAGCCTTTTTTCCAACCCTTTTTCAAACATTTCCACCACTAGTTCATAGTTCAGGTTTAAAAGATGGTCTTCCCATGATGCCCTTTTGCTCCATCTGGTTTGGCTCTGCTGGGTCGCGCAGAATGCGCAGGGTGTTTCGATGTCGGAATGCCGCTGACCTGAGCCTGACTCCCTTGGTAGATGGTGGTCATGTGGGACACGCAGCGGGCGGCCAGCGGGGGCGAGGTGCTGCTCCTGGCCAAGGCGCACACAGACGTGGACGTGCAGGCCATGAAGATCTCCGCCTTCGACGACACCAGGTGCCCCGACCCCTGCCGAGCAGCCGTGGTGTCTAAGCCCGCTTCTTTTCTTCACCCCATACTTCTGTTTCACATCTGTTTTAACGCTGTTTTTTTATTTTTTTACTCCCTCAGGATGGTGTCCTGCGGCAGGGACAACATCCGGCTGTGGCGGCTGCGGGGCGGCTCTCTGCGCTCCTGCCCCGTCAACCTGGGCGAGTACCACAGCTTGGACTTCACAGACGTGGCCTTTGGGGAGGGACCCTTTGCAGACAGGGAGCCTGAGGCCCGATCTCTGTGAGTGCCTACCGCCTTCCCATAAGCCACCGGGGCGTGACATTCAGACAGTTTCTTGAATTGGTGACTGTCTGTTACATACAATGCAACTCAGAACGACGGCTACAAATCAGGCCCGTGGTAGCCATTTCAACAGCAGACAGTGACTAAAAATGCCATTAAATAACCTGAGAGGATATTTAGCTCGTGTTTTAATGATCCCGTGTTGCTATGGTGACACTTACCCCTCCCACTACTTCTTCTGTACGAATGTCCCAGTTTGGCGTGTTGCTTTAGCTTTGTGTGACTCATTAGCTCTCCGTTAGGCTCGTTAATCTCCCAAACCCGCCGGACCGCCGGTTCGGTGTGACGTTAAACCGGGTCGTTGCCCGCTCAGGTTCGCCAGCAGCAGGAGCGGGCATGTCCTGGAGGTCGACTGCCAGACTGTGACGATCTGCAGCGTGAGGCGGCTCCTGCCCGTTCAGCGGGCACACAGCCAGCGCAGGGAGAAGCAGACCTTCAGCTCCGGTGAGCCCGGAGGCCCAACAGCCTGTTTGCCGTTTGTTGAAGCGCATCTTTGGTTTATGCATGTCCAGTCCTGCTTAGTAAACAGGCTCACGCACACAGATGCATTTATCTGGCGGCCTGGGGCAGTTAAGGAGGTTAAGAGCCTCGCCCAAGGGCCTGATGGTGATAGAGTTACTCTGCTAGTTGTGAGATTCAAATCAGCAACCTTCCAGACAGACCTGCAGATCCACACTGTGCCCCTGCTTTAAGGAGGCAACAGCCCTGGGAGACACTATTTATGGGGTGGTTCTTTTACTGCTCATTTAAAACGAGACCAACCCACACTTTAATTCAAAGGGATTTGCGTTTTTTTTTTAAAGTCATTTAATTCATTTTTTTTCTCATTCTAATGTTTATATATTTCACTGCAGAGGTGCAAGATAAGCGCCTAGCTTACAAATTGGCTTTGTGGGATTTACACTTTAATTACTCCTCTTCTAAAAGACGGGCATCAGCTTCTCCCAGTACAGTACGTGCCACATAATATATTTCTGCTCTAATTAGTGGATATATTCCGAGTCACACTGACAACTTTATGCTTTTATGATTCTGGTTATGAAAGATTCTTCCAGATATCTCTACATTTTAAACGTACTGTATATTTGTTGGGCTTGCAGGCTTAAAAGATGGCACATCGCGTGACTTGGAGAAGTTTGCGTAGCTAAAGTCGCTTGGTTGCTCTTTGGTTGCTCTTTGGTTGCTGTATTACATGCTTTGCGCTAAAATGCCCCCTGAAGAGCTTCTCATTGCCGGGCTGTGTTCCCCCTGCTGTTGCCCGCAGACCCGGGCATCGCGGTGAACAGCATCAGCGTTTCCTCGGCCCTGTGTGCCACGGGCTCGGAGGACGGCTACCTGCGCGTGTGGCCCCGGGACTTCTCCGCGGTGCTCCTGGAGGCGGGTGAGCGGCCGGCTCGCGGCCTTCCCACCGCTGCCCTCAAACCGCCGTGCTTCCTTTGGGGCTTGATCAAATCGCCGCGTCCCCCCCGTGTCCCTCAGAGCACGATGGGCCGGTGAGCTTGGTGTCCGTCAGCGCCGACGGTCTCCGGGTCCTGGCGGCCACCAGCACAGGGAGCCTGGGCTTCCTGGACGTGAGCAGCCGCTCGTACCGCACCTTGATGAGGTCGCACACCGACGCCGTGCTGGCCTTCAGCGTGGATGGCGTGCGGCGGCATGTCGTCACCGCCTCCTGCGACTCCACCGTCCGTGTCTGGGACCTGGCCTCCCTGCAGCAGGTGGGCCCACCACTCGCCCAGGATGCCATTAAATAGGCTAATCACAGGTGACGACCCTTAAAGCGTCTCCGCTTTGATGGTTCCACCGGTTTTATTCAAACCTAACTTGTCGATTTAATTAAAAAGTTTTAATTATAGCATCAGAAAATTACAAAGAAATGGCTAACAGTCACTCAAGAACTATATTAATGCTTGGGCCTAAACAGGGGCGGGGCCACCGGGGCACTGGCCCTAGCTGAAAGGTGATTGGCTGCCAGAGTGTCCCATCCCCTGTCACTTACTGACTCAGTATATACTGAATATATTATTGGCTAATAATGAGATGGACCCTCTGAATGAATTGTGACCTCTTATGCCCACACACACATAAAACTACTAGAATCGCCCCTGCCTCAAACAGTCGTAGTAGTATTAACAATAATAATAATATGACGTATCAAATTATTACAGCACTGTATGTTGGAATCCACTTCATAAAAAATTAATTGTAATTATCTGTCGCTCTCCTAGCCACTTCTCCTAGCCAGGCTTGTGGAGCCTTATAATTACCCATAAATTCATTTTCCAGCCATTTATCATAGTAATTATATCAGCCGTCCTGGGCAGTGATTATACAGCAGCTCTCTCGATGAGGAGCCCCGTGGCCTCGCACCTCTTGGCTTATTTCCCACCCTGGCTGTGGGTGTGGAGTCTCTACCGTTTCCCTGTGTTCCTGTGGCTTTCTTCCTCATTCATTCCCATCCAGAGGCATGTACTTCAGCTGCACTGGTGTCTCTACATTAGTGTTTCCCAACCCAGTCCTCAGGGAACCCTGGACAGTCCACGTTTTTGCTTCCTCTCAGCTCCCAGCGCACCTGTACCAGGTATTTGGTGTTCCTGATTGGCTGGGAGGAAGCAAGTCATGTCCTCTTCTTCCTATGCATCCCTCTGAGTGGATATAATTGCAGTAGATTGGTTGGAGCGGTGCCATCTTTCACTGAAATGACCCCACTGTTAACCATGGCGCTGCTATACTGAAGGCCGCTTCTTAACCAATGAGAAACCTTCTCTGTGTTTCCCCGCAGCTGTATGACTTCGCCTGCGAGGACACGCCCCGCTCGGTGGCCTTCCACCCTTCTCAGCAGGTGTTCTCTTGTGGCTTCGGCTCCGGCACCGTGCGCGTGTTCCATATCGCCACCTCCAGGCTGCTGGCGGAGCACAAGTGGGTCCCATCCTCTCTTACTGCCGCTCTGAGAAGCCTTGGAGCATGTAAGGCTGAGTGTGACATGTTTAGTAGGCGTGAGCGGGGCTTAGTCTGTCTGTATTTGCGTGTATGAAGTGTGTCATATCAGAGTTGGGGAGTCTGAACCACGGAGAGTCAGTGTGGGTGCGGGTTTTTGGGATGACCTCTCAATCAGTCAGTAATAAAGCGGTAATTCTCAACTCCGGTCCTGGACCCGCGGTTATTGGCTGATCGAGAGGTCATCCCAAAAACTCGCACTCACACCAGCTGTCCACCGATCAGGTTCCCCACCCCCGTTTTATATAACACGTCACCGAGCACTGAAAGGCCTTAAGTGATCCGTGAGCCGTGAGCTCTTATTGGACAGAGCTCTTCAGCCAATCACACGTCATGCTTGCAGGCAGCACCGAGGGGAGGTGACAGGCCTGATCTTCTCCCCTGACGGCCAGCACATGTACAGCTCAGGCTCCCTGGGCACCCTGGCCCTCTACGACTCTTCCCAGGACGACCACCACGTCCTGCGGGTCCTCGGTCAGTCTGCCTTTCCAGGCCGATCAGAGCCCCGGAGGAAGATACTGGGGAGCATGACAAAAGTGTAACGGTGGCAATGATGATGTGTCCCCTTCCTGTGAAGGTAAGGTGGTGGCACGGGGCAGCGAGCGTGGCCCGGATGCCCTGGCCCTCAGCACAGACAGCCGCAGCCTGGCATTTGTGGGGCCATCGGAGTATACTGTCACTATCATGAACGCCCGCTCCCTTGACGAGGTACTGTCCTGTTCTACACTCACCCCAAAAGTGGCGTGACATTCTACGCTCACCAAAAGAGTGTTGTGGTGTTCTACGCTCACCATAGGAACATTGTGACGTTCTATACTCACCATAAGAGCGTTGTGGTGTTCTACGCTCACTTAAAGAGTGACATGATGTTCTTTGCTCACTCAAAGAGCGTTCTGGTGTTCTATGCTCACCATAAGAGTGTTGTGGTGTTCTATGCTCACCATAAGAGTGTTGTGGTGTTCTATGCTCACCATAAGAGTGTTTTGGTGTTCTTTGCTCACCAAAAGAGTGTTATGGGGTTCTATGCTCACTCAAAGAGCAGCATGGCATCCTACACTCACCCAAATAACAGCATGACGTTCTGCGTTCTTCAGTGTGACGTTCTTCCCTCTCAGCTGCTGCGGGTGGATGTCAGTATCCTAGATGTGGACAGCACCTCCCTGGATTCGGCTGTGAAGGTGTGTTTTGCCCCAGCCTCCACAGGGCACCTGCTCGTCAGCACTTCCGCTAACAAGATCCTCTGGCTGAACGCCGGGACGGGCCGGCTGCTCAGGCAGGTGAGTGTCATCATCCTCCACAGCCGGCTCTGGTGGGGCCGAAGTTAGTGTGGATAGGCTGCACCTGCGGAGTTCGCAGAGGGATACGTCTGTGGCTGGGATACACCTCTTCCTGTCCGGTCTGTCTGTCTCCCTCCCTCTGCAGGTGTCTGATGTGCACAAGCAGCAGTGCTCCTCTCTGGCTGTCAGCGAGGACGGCCGCTTCCTGCTCACAGCCGGGCACAAGGCCGTCAAGGTGTGGGATTACGCCATGCGGCTTGACGTCAACTCGCAGGTCAGTGATGCCATACTGCCCTTACGGGTAACAGTATGCTGGGTATGTGATTTATATTAAAAGAAACAAAGCAGCTATTTTGCAAACCGTGTGAGAATCAATAAATAATTCTGATTAATTATATAATAATCATTCACTGATTTTTGTGTTGTTATCAGTAATTATGAGTTATACACCTCGAAGGAATGACCTGATATATAGTGTGATACTTTTATGATTCTAGGCCTTTAGATTAGAAAATATGTATAATATTGACAGCATATTGGATGTAGCTCTGTCCTCTGCTTGCTCTGCAGTCCTGTTTGCATGCAGAAAACTCACTGGCTTGTGTGTTCTGGTCCCAGGTGTTTATTGGACATTCCCAGCCCATCCAGCAGGCTGCTTTCACCCCAGACCAGCTGGGTGTGCTCACCGTGGGTGACGGCATCTACTACTGGGACTTCCTGGCCCAGCCCCGGGAGTCAGCGAAGGAGAAAAGGTAGCATGTCACCACACTCAGCATTTTATCCCATCTCCACTCTCTCACTGCTCCCTAAAAATAAATGTTTCTTTCCAGCTCTCCTCGGATATCTGCCTTCGTCCAATCAGGTGAGTGTATGCATGGGGCCAGGCTATTGGTCGCATCATTGGCAAAAAGCGCTTGACCGGAAGATTCTGATGGACAGGTCCTCATGGTTCCCTGGGCGGCTCAGATGCCAGCGTCAGCAGGACGGTTCTGTCCAATGGGATGCCCAGAGAGACGGCCCCCCTCCCCTCCTCCCCCCCACCCCGCCTGGACATGACCTCTATCAGCAAGACAGGTCATGAAGGTGAGCCTCCCGCTGTCAGCACACAAACAATAGAATTATAATTATAGTGATAATTACTATGATAAAAATTCCTAAACCTCATTATTAGTGTAATAAAGTAAATGAAAGGTTCCCTGTAATATTAGCAGGTGAGAGGATGCCGTGGTAACACAATGAGCAAGACACATGAGGACCAAATGGCACATGACAGTAGACCAACATCCCATAATTCACAGTATGCACTGGGTCTCGTTGTCACGTGGCTTCTACACCATCTCAAAACATACGTATATAATGTTAAGATAATCCCACAAAACGTCATACAGCATTGCATGTGAGATTAAAAGCCATGCTTCTCGACTCACGATGGGGTTACGTTCCGGTGAACCCATCATAAGTGGAAAATGTCGCAAGTCAAATATGATTATTATGGTATGATAAATAAGTAAATAATACTGTCAGTGAAAAAAGTAAATAATCATGTAACTAATTAAATACCAGCAATTGAAAAGTAAATGAATACAAGTTTATTTAGTTAAACCGAAAAAAAACACTGTACGTTAAGATATTAAATACTGCCTGAGATGTTTACGCTCGCGATCGCTACAGAGACTGGAAGCATTGTTGGGTGGATACTGCCATCACCCAGCCTCGGTAGAAAGTATTGTTCAGCATTATCACTAGACCAGGAACAGATCAAAATTCACAGTGGACTACTGAATGTGCATGGTTACGCACCATCGTGAACTCAAAATATCGTAAGTTGAACCATCGCAAAGCACCGTGTCTCCTTCCTCTGCCAGTGAGCCTGTGTTTAAGTGGCATCACAATGGTAACCCCGCCCCTCGACCTTTGACCCTGCATGTCTCCCTGTTCTGTTCTGTAGCTCTAGCCTTCCTGTCGCTGTGCGAGGAGAGTGAGGAGCAGCGGAATTCCGAAGCCGCTCCTGCTCCGGGCTTGGGGTCCTTCCTCCGAGTCACAAACATGGCGGGCGACGGAGATGAGTATGACACCGGAAGTAGCCAGTGGAGGGGCTCCGGTCTCCAAAAAGGGTTTGATGGTACCTCTCAAAAGTAGCATATTAGCATTTTAGCAAATAGTGCATGCAGAGTTTTATATGTTTGTAGCTAAGGTTTACTGCATGTATGTATGTCTTATAATGAACAGGTGAAGAACAGAGGTCCCTTATTCGTCCAGATTGCTATAAGCATTTTACTCCACGCTTCAAAATCTCTTGCCTGGATCAGGTACTGTGATCCTCCCAGTCAGCTTGTTGAAGTATGTCCTCATCATCAACATTCTTTATTGTTGTTGTCGTTGACCTATGATTTTACCCATCTACCTCAGAGTGCCATGCCGCCCTGCAACGGAAATGAGGGCCTCGTGCTGAAGGCGGTGATCGGATACAACGGCAACGGGCGCGGAAACATGATCTGGAAGCCGGACACGGGTAATGGGCGGCGTTTACTCAGCTTGTACCCACAATGCCCGGCGGTACGGCTCACCATGGACTGAACGTGGCTGTTTCAGGCCTGTTTGCGTACACGTGCGGCTGCGTGGTCGTTGTGGAGGACCTGCACACCGGCACTCAGAGGCACTGGCTGGGCCACTCCGAGGAGGTCTCCTGCCTGGCCGTCACTAACGATGCACAGGTACACTTCCCCTTCAGCATTGCCATTTGTGTTTTTGAGGACAAGCCACAATCCTGACGTCCGCAGTCACTCCCACATGCAGACTGTGGCCTCGGCGTCAGGAGGAGCCGGTGGATCCCGCAGTCTCATTTGCATCTGGAACGTTCGCGATGATGTCCGGAAAAATACCCTATCCTACCACAAGGGGGAGGTGCAGGGCATCACGTTCTCCAGGGATGACATGTTCTTCCTCTCCATTGGTCAGTTTTGAAATGTTTGTAGTGACTAATATCAAGTCGTTAGCTTTTTGAGTGCTGAAATCTCACGTGACAGATGACGTTATGCAATGTTAATCACCTACTGAATGGAAAACAGGGTAAATGTGTAAACAGTAACTAGAAAGTAGGCCTACGAACCATGTCCATCCTTGGATTTGGTGGCCCATGCGTCCCATTACTGCAGGTGACTACAGGGAGCCCGGCCTGGCCCTCTGGAGCACCAGGACGTGCCAGCTGCTGACCGCCGTCGCTCTGCCTGAGCCTCTCCACGATGCTGCCTTCAGCCCTGGCTCTGCCAGCCTTTTGGCGTGCGTGGGCAGCGCCAGCGCCCTCTTCTACCTCCTCGAGTGTCACGGCCAGGACGTTCAGCTGAAGGTGGGTCTCGCCCTGCCTGTCTGCCGACCCGATGCTAGTTTCTGCTCCTCAGTTCAGTTTTCTAACAGCTGCTCCCCAGACTAAACACACGATGTGGAAATGACGTTGCAAGCTGGTGCAGAATAAATTAAACAAATTAGAATTTATCCAAAACTCCCTAATTAGAAGAATTTGTAATGTCTATAACTTGGAAAAACACATTTTTAGACTTTTCATCAAAACTTTTAACACACTTTAGTAAGCACATTTTAGAAAGTGCAGTGCTTTAAGTGCTAAGGAAAGTCTGAGCTTCCTTTAGGTTGATGTGTCCTTAACCACATGCTACGTCCTGCCCAGAATGACATAAAGTAAGATATCGACCCTAACTTTAAATGTACTTCCCGTGGTTTGTAAAATTCCATCATTGCACCCCTCTGGGTGCAGGTGCAGAGGGCAGCCGTGCCAACGGAGCTGGGTGACACTGAGCTGACAGCGCTATGCTACGGCGATGCGCCCATCCTGTACACGGGCACCAACGCCGGCCATGTCTGTGCCTGGGACAGCGGCACCGCCCGCTGCTTCATGACCTGGGAGGCCGATGACGGAGAGATCGGTGAGTCACTGAATCACGCCGAATCACGTGAGATTGACCCTGATAAAATGGCACAGAATGATTGTGGAAAATCATTGTCAAGCTGAATGACATGCATGCATATAACATCATAGTACAGAAAGTCACTGCATAGATATTGGTGTTTTTTTTTTGTAAATGGAGAAAGAAGTTTGGATCAAGCTGATGTCATTGTCAGGAAATAGCAGTGGATTTAAATATTAACTACTGCTCCATAAACGTTCGTGTGTGTGTGTGTGTGTGTGTGTATGTGTGTGTGTGTGTGTGCGTGTGTGTGTGTGTGTGTGTGTGCGTGCGCATGCACGCACCTTTTTTAAAATTATTACATTGTTGCGACCAGTAAAAACTTGTAACTTTTTACCTCAACATTTTTTTTGGTCCCCACAAGAATAAACTCAATTTAATAAAAATCTGTGACTGCAATCAAGACTGTTTGGTGCTGTGCTGTGCATGTGTGTGTGTGTGTGTATGTGTCTTTGCTGTGCTGTGCGTGTCTGTGCTGTGTGTGTGTCTTTGCTGTGCTGTGCGTGTCTGTGCTGTGTCTGCTGTGCTGCTCGTGAGTGTGGCAATGCTGTGGTGTTTGTGTGTGTGTCTGTGCTATGCTGCATTGTGTGTGTGTGTGTCTGTGCGTGCGTGTGTTTGTGCTATGCGTGCGTGCGTGTCTGTGTTCTGCTGTTTGTGTGTCTGCTGTGTGCGGATGTGTGTGCTGTGCTGCTCGTTAGTGTGTCTGTGCTGTGCGTGTTTGTACTGTGGCTGTGCTATGCTGCTCGTGAGTGTGTCAGTGTTGTGGTGTTCGCGTGTGTATGTCTGTGCTGTGCTGCATTGTGTGTGTGCTTTGCTGTGCGTGCATGCGTGTCTGTGCTCTGCGTGTCTGCCCTGCTGTGTGTGTGTCTGTGCCCTGCTGTGTGTCTGTGCCCTGCTGTGTGTGTGTGTCTGTGCCCTGCTGTGTGTGTGTGTCTGTGCCCTGCTGTTTGTGTGTGTCTGTGCTCTACTGTGTGTGTGTGTGTCTGTGCTCTGCTGTGCGTGTTTGTGCTGTGCTGCTCGTTAGTGTGTCTGTGCTGTGCGTGTTTGTGCTGTGGCTGTGCTATGCTGCTCATGAGTGTGTCAGTGTTGTGGTGTTCGTGTGTGTATGTCTCTGCTGTGCTGCATTGTGTGTGTGCTTTGCTGTGTGTTACTGCTTGCTGTGTGTGTGTCTGTGCTGTGCCCTGCTGTGTGTGCAAGTGTGTGAGTGCTGTGTTGTGTGTGTCTGTGCTGTGCCCTGCTGTATGTGTGTGCGCGCACGCACGCTGTGCTGTGTGAGTCTGTTCTGTGCCCTGCTGTGTGTGTGTTGTGTGTGTGTCTGTGCTCTGCTGTGTGTGTGTGTGTGTGTGTGCGTGCGTGCGTGCTGTGCTGTGCTGTGTCAGTGCTGTGCTGTGTCAGTGCTCTGCTGTGTGTGTCTGTGCTGTGCTCTGCAGTGCTCTGTTTGTGCTCTGTGTGTGGCCTGGCAACCCCCCCCCCCCAACACTGAGCACTTCTCTATCTGCAGGGGTTCTCTTGTGCCGAGGGAGCCGCCTGCTGACTGGCAGCAACACCTGGAGGGTGAGGCTCTGGGCAGTGGGGGCCATCCAGCGGCTGAGGCCTGGAGCGAGTGACAGCATGGACAGGTGAGACGACAGCACCCCTGCTGGCCTCACGGGAGTGAGTGAGAAGTGGGGGAGGGGACTCCATTGCTGCCACGGAAACGGCTTTGAGGCACTCTGCTGCGTTTTTTTTTTTTTTTAACGTTGCCGTTTCCGATAGAGGCAGTGTTATTTATCTTTGGGGTATTACGTTACACGTTTTGCCCCTGGCCCTCGTTCGAATAGGATCTCTGTCCTTCAGCAGCATGTCAGTGCTGATGGAGCAGGAAATGACGCTGGACGGCACGGTGGTGAGCGCGGCTTTTGACGACGCCCTGGACATGGGCATCGTGGGCACCACTGCAGGCACGCTGTGGTACATCAGCTGGGCTGAGAGCACCAGCATCCGGCTCATCAGCGGCCACAGGGACAGGGTGGGCGTCGCCGCGGTCTGTGATGCGCGGGTCATGCTTTCGTTGTTATGCCAACGCTTCCATCCAAAACAAGCTGCTTTTATACCCATTCATACGTCCTCTTAGTTACAGCTGCCCAACTCTTTATAGTCAGATAACTAAGGCAGACTGTATGAACAGGCACTGACTCTGTGCATTAACTGCACGTTCACCCAGGTGAACAGCGTGGTCTTCAGCCCAGATGAGGGCCGCTTTGCCACATGCGGGGAGGACGGCAGCCTGCGTGTGTGGGCCATGCCCAGCAACGAGCTGCTCGTGCAGTTCCAGGTGCTCAACCAGGTGGGTCATGCCATCCGGGGCCTGTAGGGCGGCGCCCTTTCCCACGGGTAGCATTGCTTGTTATGCATGTGTGCCCACTCAGGGCTGCTCGTGCGTCTGCTGGAGCCCCTTGCCAAGCGTGTCCCCGGGAGAGCAGCGTGTGGTGGCGGGGTACAGCGATGGCACACTGCGTGTTTTCTGCCTGGGCACCTCAGAGATGGAGCTGAAACTCCAGCCTCACTCCGTGTCCATCACGGCCGTCCGGTACTCGGCAGAAGGTGGGCCACGCGTACTAAAGGACAGCGAAATGTGTGTGGTACCTTAAGGGTTCTGCAGGGGTAACATTTGTTGTATTGTCTCCCTCCAGGTCAGGTTGTTCTGTCGGGGGGCAGCGACGGCCTGGTGGCTGTCAGTAGCCCCTTGACTGGCATGACCATCCACATCATAAGTGACCACAAGGGGGCTCCCATCACCTCCATCCAGTGTGTCAGAAAGAAGGTCAGAACGAAAGGCATATATACCTCCTTGAAATGGAGGTTTCCAGTCATCTGTTGCAGTCGGCTGTTCTTCATTTGCAGAGTACAATAATTATGTGTTTTCCGTAGTATGAAGAATTTGGTCTCAAAGGTAATGAGATGTGGCTAGCATCCAGCGCAGACAGGCGTGTCAGTATCTGGGTGTCTGATTGGATGAAGGACAAATGTGAGCTTCTGGATTGGCTCACGTTCCCAGCCCCTTCCACTACTGAGGTACAAACAAGAAAAGTTTAAATATATAAAATATAAATATATTAAACATATAAAAATACAGCAACATTTTCATTTGATGTTGATTAATTATATTGTGTATTTGTTGACTGCTGATAATTTGAGTTATTGTTACGAATGTTTTGGTGGTTTTTTTGGGTTTTTTTTTATTCCGGTGTGACAGGAGCTCGACAGCCCACCGCCCAGCCTGGGAGCTTTCTGCCCCCAGAAGTCGAGCATCGTCCTTTACACCGGGTATGGAGTGGAGAGGGAGCTGATATTCTACAGCTTATCCAAGAAACAGGTACCATCTCTGCAGCCATGCTTTTGTCTCCGAGTCTAATCCATAGTAATAAATAGGATTGATTTATATTAACATCGATATTAAGTTATTCGTGATTTCTATTAAAAATATTTGCATCATTTTGAATTTGAATATATATACATGACTGTATTTAAAAGGCTGTGACCTTTGATGTTGATTGATCCAGCATTTTACAGTTTCACAAATATTAATTACTTGGTAAGTGACTGATTTACACTAGAAGACTGTAATTGGCTGTCCTGCATCCTGTGAAGTGCTGAAGCCGTGTTTGCTCCTGCAGATTGTTAGAAAGATTGCCCTGTCGCACTGGGCCTCATGTCTGAGTCCCTCTCCCCAAGGCCATCTTGTTGCGGTCGGCTGTAACGGTAAGCCCCCTTCACGGCGTCAGCTGCTGACGTTAACGTGAGCGGCCCACACTGCGTATAACACGTTTCCCTTTTGCTCCCCCCAGAACGACTGCTAAAAATCATCAGGGCCACCGACGGGAAGTTCCTTGATTTCCCAATGCACAGCGATTCTCTACAGGTGTGCGGGTTCTCCCCTTCGGGAAAGTACCTCTTCACTTCTGCTTACAACGAGATTTTTCTGTGGGAGGTGAAGGGGCTGTAGTTGTGAGATTGAGCAGATCCTCACATTGTTGCCTTCGGTGCTGAGTAACACACCCCTAACTTCTATCTGAGTAGCACGGTCCGATTGCCAAATACCAAGATAATCCCATAAGACTCATGGAAATGCTTCTGTGCTTATAGAAGACTTGTTTTTATGCAATTTATAAAAATGTTGTTCTTGTTTACTGCTTTGGGTAGTCAGTGTAGTATTTTATTTTGTGATATATTTATTTTTGTATTTGTATAATGAAAACTTCCTTGACATTGTTTCTTTAATTGGCATGATGTTATTGTTTACCTGCCTGTGAATGCTGACAAAACCCACTGATTGCTCAACATGCACGTTTTCTTTCATTTTATATGCCTCACATTGATTTTAAATGATGTTGTGACTTTCAGTTGTACTACCAGACTTTAATTGAAATTCAGTGCCTTTTTTTACAATTTTATGAAAAGGGTTGCTTGCTTCATAAAAGTCTTTTTAAACTAATTTTTAATAAATCTGAACATTTTGAATTGTTCTTTCACCTCTTGTTTTTTCTGTTCACTCTTTTTTTTTTTAAACACCCTTTCCAAGATGGACAATGTAACACGAGGATTCGCAGGTCAGACTTTAACGGAAGAGATGACAGTTGTGACCCTGTTGCTGAATACTTTTCAGTATTCAGTAGGTAGTAATAATAAAGATGCAATCTATTACTTCACAGGATTTCACGCTGGCTTTCGTGCTGCACTTTTGCTGTTGGACAGTTCCATAAAAATATCTCTTGCTGACCTGATCTCTTTCAAAAAAGCCACTGATTAATATATTACTTTGAACATGACCAGAAAAACTCGATCTCATGAAGGCCGCTGCAACCACTTTTGATGGGAAAAACTGCGTTTTATGACATAATTTTTCTTTGTACACACATAAACATACTATCTGTATAGTAGCATCCACTTCTGTTAGGAAACTAACTCCTCAGTCTGAGAAAAAGTGGTAATGACGATATTTCATGTACTGTAATTGTGAGGCTTATCACAATGTCCATAATTTCCTGCAAAGCATTTATAAAATATGACTTGGATATAACGATATATGAGCTGTGTGTATGCTTATGAAACAAATGTATAGGTTAGGCCTTGGATGTTCTTCAAGGTATTGCTATTTAAGCACATATAAGCAATTTGGCAGTGTATTAATTAGCACTATAGCTTCACACTTCCAAGGAGTAAGGTCTGAATCCCATTTTCAGCTTTGTGTATGTGTGTGTTATGTTCTCCCTGTGTCTATATGGGATTTCTCCAGATACTCCAGCTTCAGCCCAGTCCCAGAATATGCAGACTGGTGAACCTGTGCCTAAATTTCGTACAGTGTGTGGACGTGCGCCCTGCGATGGGCTGGCCAATACTGCCTGGGTCTCCCCTGGCTTGTGCCCGGTTACTGGGAAAGGATCCAGGCTTCAGCTACGGTTCCAGTGGCCATCAGGTTTGGGAGAGGGGGACATCCTGCTTCCATAGATGGAGCAGTGACCACGGTGTGACCTAATTTGAAATTAAATCAAGTTTTCCCTTGAGGAAAAATTGTGGATTGTACTGACTCCAAGTGTGTTCAGTTTTGACCCATCTTGATTTATATAGAATTTTATTTAAGTTATTAACATTGTAAATTTGAAAAAAAAAACATACACAGATACTGTAATGTTCCAGCAAATTCCACCTATTTTTGGGGACACCTTCCCAGTAAAACCAGAGATATGCATGACAAACAAGTCCATTTGATCTGCATACTGTCAAAGCACATTTTAAGTATCAGTTTCTAAATGACGTTAAACCTAAATGATAAACAATATCCAGACCATAAACATACATCCTTTAAACACGGAAATTATAGTCTAGTACAATAAGTACAGTATCCTAGCACCGATCAAATCAATACCTTTATTCAGTGCTCAAGGTCGACCTGCATTTATATTTATATCTGCGATGAAATTCCAAAAAACAGGTGACAACCTATTTCTTAATTTACTGGAGTTCTGAAACTTCAGTTCTGATGACTCTCAAAGTAAAGCACACGCGCCAACAGTGACATTTAAGATTCCCCTCTGTTGCATAATGCTGAAAACTGATAGGAGTCCATCAGCTTCTCCACTTAACCCCAAAATGAACGGGGAAGCGCTCGTCCCGTTACCGCTGTGAGTGCGCGGCACGTCATGCATCATTCACGAGTCTGAGTGGAGCTTACGCTCTATTGTCCCACTCAGCCCTGAGACACTGACCATTTGACACCCCTGTCCAGGACGGATGGATACATTTCAGTCTTGCGCAGCAGTGGCTGATCCCTGCTCTCTGCTCCCAAGCTGTCACCAGAGTCTGGGCTCAGGATGAATGTGTTCTTCGTCATATAGTTACCTGGGTGGTCCCCAGAATAGATATCGATTTTGATAAACAAAGTAACCATCATCTCGATGACACTGTAAAGAGGCTCCAAAGACTTCTGCAGATCAGAAACATAATATTTCCAATGTTTACTTGTTACTTAGCAATCAAACTCAGAGCTTACACTGTGCTGCTTGTAATTGTGTGTGCGTATCTGTGTGTGTGTGTGTGGATTATGTATATATTACATTGTGGGGATCAAATGTTTCCCACAAAGTAGTAAAAACCTGTTTAATGTTGTGGGGACCGTTTTTCAGGTGCCTACAAAGATCTGTGAATGTAATGAAAAATTAAAAATGCCAAAAGTCTTGTATTTTGTATGGTTCCCCATAAAAATGAATGGAGAATCCCCACAAAGATATAACTACAAACCTGTGTGTTTGTGTATGTGTACCACAGTGTAACAATAACATTTTTCATTTGTTTTAAACACGACAGTCATACCTGTCACTAACCTAACTAACCTAGCTTTAATATGTGACCGGAAAATGCATTTCTAATTAATAGCTATGTAATGTAGGTAGATCTATCCATCCCTTAATTCCTTATCCTAGATGGTCTCAGAAGCTTGGGGTAGAAGGCAGGGGAATGTTCTGAACAGGATATCAGTCCATTGCAGGGCACACAACCTCATACACATGGGGAATTCAGGAAGAATTAGCTAAGTGCATGTCTTTGGCCTGTCCAAACCAATGTATATATATATATAGTGATCAGTGGTCATTGTTGACACACCACAACAAAGTGCGTCCTCTGCATTTAACCCATATGTGATGTCGTGATATAGCAGGGAGTAGCTAATTCAGCGCCTGGGGAGCAGTGCTTGGGGACAGTACAGTATCTTGCCCTGGGTACCTCAGTGGTGCCTTGCTGGTCAGGGATTCAAACCTGCAATCTTTCAATGACAAGTGTGCTCCCCTAACCATTAAGCCACCACTGCCCACAATGGGAAGGGGACATGCACACTGTACACACACAGAGCAGCGCTGGCATTCAAACCCCCCAACCTAGACATGTAAAGCAACTGTGCTACCCAATAAGCCATCATCTTCTTCATATCACTTTTCCTGGTGAGGGTCAGACCTCCCTTATCAAAGACATAAACTCTCGCTCATTCCGGGGGATCCCAAGCCAGCCAGCAAGTGCCCAAGCCAGCCAGGGGATGTAAACCTGTTAGTGTGTCCTGGGTCTGCTCCAGGTTCCCAGAACAGCTCCACTGGCATCAGATCAGTCAGCATCCTAATAATATGCCCAAAACACTTCAGCTGGCCCCTCTCGATCAGAAGGAGCTGTGGTTCTATTTCAGGGTCCCTCCAGATGTCCAGACTCCTCATGTTGTCACAAAGAATCCTGCATCTTGTGGAGAAACCTCATTTCGGCCACTTGTACCCTTGACCTTAACCACATTATGCACAGTTCTTGACCAGAGGTGAGGATAGTAATGCAGGATAGCAAATCATGAGCTTCGTCCATTGCCCTCAAACCTACAACCAACAAACCCATCCCTCTATCCAGGGACATAGCTGGAAATTCTGGGGCCCCTGAGAAAATGTCACCTTGGGGCCCCTGCTAGCATTGCCATTTTCTGAAGAAATATGGGATGCCACCCCCCAGTAATAGCATTTACTGGGGGAGATTCCTACATGGTAGAATTTGCCATCTATTGTGTAATGTTCCCTAAGTGTTTACTTATAATCTGGTGTATTCAAGGGCACCATGAACCTGCCAGGGTATCTATGCCCCTCTGAAACCCCAGCCTCTATTGAGATGGATAATACAGACTTATTTAAATTTATCTCTTCCAAGCAGTCCTCCAACTTGCGGGATTGGCACTCCAGCCACTGTAAAAACTTCACACAGCTCCAACAAAGAAGACGGGACTCTTTTCTGCTCTCTGCGGGAGTAGCTCTGCCGCAGCTGCCCACAGGAAGGCTACACGCATGATGAAGGGGATGGGGGAAAGCCCTTGGGAGCCTCATCCACACAAGAAAGGAAACCACCGGAGAGCCAATGGAGTCAGCCCTGTTGGGGATCATAACTGGTGTGGTGCTGAGGCGTCACCCCTGTTGCATGGTAACACTTGGGTCCTAATCTGAGGCAGCTCATCATTTTATTTGCAACTTCGCTCAGTTGTTGATGGGTGCCCACAAGGTGACATCCCTCTGCTTATGGGTGACTTCAGCACAACCACTGGCACTGACAGGACTGGCTATGAGGACTGTGTCAGTCCCCATAGGCCTGACACTATGGTGAAAGTGGCTTCATGTTTCTTGATATTGTCAGGGGCTGCAGGTCATTGGATCCAGGTTCCAGCACCCTGAGCTTCATCGTTGGACTTGGTACTCCAGTACTGGTATGGTGAAGGAGATCAATCACATCCTCATGGAAAAATGCTAAAGGATCCTACAGAACTGCAGAGTCTACAGGAGTGACCGGTTTGTGAATTCTGACCACAGACTTCTTGTCTGATTTGTTGAAGATTCAGCTTAGGTCCAGTAGGCTACCAGCTACTAAGAGAATGAGGCTGGACCTGGCCAGATCAAGCTGTTTCTAATGAGTCTGCATGAAGTTTATGTGAGGAACTTGGGTGTGACTACTAACGTGATATAGGAGACCTTCAATGACAAGACCCTGAAGGTTGCTGAGGGTTGTATTGGTGTTCCCAGAAGGAGATGTTTTATCTCGCAGGGCATCCTGGATATTATAGGGAGGAGTCACAGCACACAGCTTGATGGCAACTCTGGTCTATACCAGGAACTGAGAACGGCTGAGAGGGCTCTGTGGGCAGATAAGGAGGTGTTAGTTAAAGGAATCTGTGAGCAAGTGACACACCATCTATGGTCTAGCAACCCACATCCTACTGACAAAGGAATTGGAGCACTATGCACATCCGAATTTGTTCCTCAGAGAGTCTCAGGCAGAGCGGGTGATGGAACAGGCCTCAAGGATTACACTACAGTTGTGACCCATTGGGCAGGCTACTTTGAGAAACTGTTAAAAGCTGATCCTCAAGCTAGGACATTAGACATCTTTGGGTCCACAGTTTTTGAGTCTGGTCCCCTGATTAGTGAACCACCCAGTCTCACTGAGATTGCACAGC